CGTTATAGATAAGACCTGTGTAACCGGAGTCAGTGTCTTCACCTTTTAAAATCTTTTTACAATGCGAAACAAAAAGAAAATAAAAATTTAATTATGTAAATTAAATATAATCGTCTTAGCGAAAAATTAATTCACAGAAGCCACAGTGCTAGGCTGCTAGCTATGAATACTAAGTATTAAACAAATACCTACCGGTAAGGAATAATTCCATAATTCCATGGCAATAAAAACACTACTTAATTTAATGGTATTTCGTAAATAGGTAATATTGATAATACATTATCGTTTTATGTCACTTAGTAACAAAATCAAATACAACAACCTACAGGTTCTTACTCTTGCTAATATTATAAATGCGAAAGTTACCGATGTTTGGATGTTTGTTACACAATTACACCAAAACGGCTGGACGGATCTGGATGAAATTCGGCACAGGCTTATGCCGTAAGATACATTTCGGAATAGGACATAGGCTACTTTTTATCAACATACCATGCAAGCGAAGCCGCTGGCGGAAGTTAGTTATGAAATAAATGCTACAATTTATAAATTATAAAGCGTTTTAAATATAGTCTATAATCTAGTATAATATAGTAATATATCATAAAGTTTCCAGTCAGTAGAACATGCAGAATTGAAGTCACAAATTCCAAACAAATACTATTTTGTAGTACAAATGGTTTACAAATATGTCTATGCGCATTCATGTTTACGGTTGTACTGCGGGAGGGAGGATTTCTATTTATAATCTGATGTATGCCATGTATACTGAGTTAAAATCCATTTCAAAGTAGGCACATTGATCCAACTACTATATTATAATTCAACTCCATAGATCCAACTATTAATATATAATTTATCTTGCAATAAGGGAAGGCTTCGGCTTGGAGCAGAAGAAGGAAAAATAGTTTTTAAACTGTAAAAGTCTGACACCTCTCACGCCGTAACCTGGGGTTTTCGTCATAGCTAATTTATCTAATCTTAAATATAGTCCTAAAATATACCTTATAAAAAATAACTACTTCTAGTGTCAAGTCTATTTTGGTTTTATCTCCAGGCTAAATTTTATCTAAATCCGTTCATTTGTTTTGTGTGATTGACTAACAAAAACGTTATAATGTAACTTTATTTTATTTATAAAACCATAAAATATTTGTTTACGTTTTCCTTTATTTATTTGAAGAACAGTATTTAATAAGTCTAGTTATACTAAGTCCACGTCGCGAAAATGGCAGGTAACATTGTTTTCATTCCAAAGTATTCCCTCGACGGGGAATTTCCACGATATCCCGGACCAAACCGAATCTAATTAGTTTTGTTTTGGCTCAATTATGGCCACCAACATTCACCTGGTTTATTCTATTTAGTACTTTGAATTGAGTTTAGAAATTAGCCTAATATAATTCGTGATCCAGCGTAGCTATACATATAACGAGTTTTTCTAGACTTTAAATAATAACCTGCAAATAAAAGCTCTCTAGAACATTAATTTAACAAAACAGCAATCTACTTTCAATATATCCTTCAATTCAATACACGACCAGTTTTTCTGAACATGAATAGTGAAGCCCACTTTCGATATTACTACGATTATACGGAATTCATTGCGGAGACAATACAAAGTGGTTTTATCCACAACAGACGTAACAAAAGGCTTTTGTACGGCGTACATACTTGAGTCATAACTACCTTGTTATGCCTTTCGTATTACCTATTTAGTTACCTCATTATTCACAGCAAAATGTTTTCCTCCACGAGTGAGTTCGAAGAATAGAATAGTTAACCCACTTTTCCTGAGTTATTTTATTAGGAACATACTAGAACTCGAAACACTACTAGGAGTACTAGGTTCTATAAACAGTCATACTTGTATCGTATTTTCTGTATTGTGAGGGATAACATTTTTTTAGAAGCTATTTAGATACAAATTGTCACTTTTTGGAAGCCTGACGTGACTCATGACTCGAGTATAACAAAAAAACCTTTAGTAAACTGAAAGTACCTACTGAAGCAAAAGACTGAAGTTTGCACCAAAACTCAAATATTATTCCTAAAGTCCTACGGTAATGCTAAAAATACTAGATTTTTATGCGCCAACAAAATCGAGGGCAAAAGCAAGTTTATTTACAAAACATCGTTGCTATGCTATGACCCAAAAAGAATTTAAATTTTTAATCATAATCTTGAACATTAATTAGGTACCTACTCCGCGGAGCTAAAATATTAAAGTAGCTACGCTCATTATAGCGATAAACGTAAAGTAATTAAGAAAATTCTTTTCACAGAATTGTATAACATGATTCATAGGTATATGAATAATATTTCTTATCTAAAATGTGTACCTATTACAAAATTCAAGAGTAAGTTTACTAGGTTGGTCTTATCAATTCACTGGTTCGTTTGGCCACATGAATTTTTATTACATTCTGTGCTAGCGCTTGTGGGATGTCGTCTGTATATGTATATGAGTATATAGGTAATATAGGCATCAAGTCATGATTCCTTCAATAAAAATCCAAGTCTGGAGATACTGCTAATTTCTAGTGGGCAACTGCTGCTAGTCTCAAAAAAGTCAGATAAATATAAAGCCACAACTAAAAACTAAAGTAGGTACTCATCATGAAATTATGGAACCGTTATTTACTAAAGACTTGAATAAGTAGTATAATTTGTGGACTATACAAGGCTACCATTAAATATCTATGTGACGATTATAATACTTATCAAGGTTATAGCGTGACCTTGAAATTTGGAGGACTACACGCTCAATGTACGTGAAATGTAAGATATATAGCGACAGAACACTAATATAAGTCACGCTTTTTGCTAAATGACAAACGTATTAAAAAACATTCGATAAGAAAATAAACATTCGATTTATATGCATCGTGTGAGAAAAAACTGTATGCACATTGCTATGTTGCAATACCAGGAAAGATTTCATTGGGATAGCCATTTAAAAATTAAAAGTAGCTGAAAATTTCGATAGACTCGTGATCGAAATTTCAAACAGCGTAAAGTATATGCCACTAATTGTTAGTTCTACTAAGTTAAACATTATCCTTGATCCTTGTATCTATATAACAGCAAATGTTTTAATGTAAGTAAATACGCAGGACAATTTACAATAATCTACCTAATCGTTTGTTAAGAAGATAAGTACGTGCACATAATGATTCATAACATATTTTTACAGCTTGAACCTTGATACTATGTGTTTTGCTACAGATATCAAAGTTTTGTTATGAAACTATATTTTTATATACATAACGACCGATTCGTACCTGGGTACTGTTATCAATCGACCATGTAAACATAGCTTTTAGGTATCTGGTTTAATATAGACGAAGATATGGAATGGAAAAATAAAATAACGCCGAATGAAAACCGGTATAAACGCGGCAACCTTAGTCAAATCTACCTACATGCGTCAAACAACAAATTTTTACCAAATAGTCGTTCTGCTCCATTCAATTTACTTGTTACATGGCACCTACCTACTTGCATCACGTATTGTGTTTCCTCTTTATGTTACATCACTGGCTATTTAACCTGTATCTGCCCGTTAGCTGTTGTCATGTGCATGTTTGCAAATAATAACATTACATCAACGCAGACAGAGTCACGTACTTTTCATTAAAAAGCCTCCGTGAAAAGTTTTAACACACCGGTAGAACTTAGATACATTCTATTTGATATTTTTTATAAAGCTGTTTAAAACTTACCTCTTTATTCCGAATTTTCTTCGCAACTACAACAGCTGGCTCTTTCAGGATATCATCGTAAATCGGTGGAATCTTTTCTCCTTCGGTTCCATAGTACAAACTTAAGACAAACTTCCCAATACTCGCCAATATTAACCTTAGAACATGAACCACTCGCAGGGATAGTGGCAAAGGTTTAACTACCTCCGCGTTACACATGGTCGTGTAAAATCACTGCTATTTATAAACTTTTCGCGTAGAAACAATCTTTGTTTCCACTATTCACACTTTATTTGAAAACAATGTTAGAAGTTTTGACGGCGAGCGAGCAGCGACAACGCCTGTGTCGCTCATATACAAACGAACTGTTCAACTCATTGAATGAGCGATATAAACCGAGGACACATCAGCTTGTATCTGCGTCAGTACAGCCGTCTCGCTCTGTCGCTGTAGTTCGAGCGTGGGCCGTGTGGCGGCTACGTGTCGGGCTCGACCGTCCTACGGCTCCTCACTGGCGTGCCGGCTGCCTCGCCACTCCACTTCAAACACGTCTTTTTATCACTTTATAGCGAGGCAATGCGTGACGACTAATTGATAAATTACAACATGACAAGGTATGCGCTGGACACTAACCAGACTTTACTAGTAATCGCTGATAATATAGCCGGTAATAAATCGTCTTTGGTGGACAGTTTCCATATTTTTCCGTTTATCGACATTGTGTACAAACCATTTCTAAAACATTCCAACCCAACATATTTAAAAGCTAGATCGGACTTTCCAACTAACCAAAAGTTTAATTACTTTTATTTACCTGTTATACAGCAGAACAGATGTATGTTTTGTATTATTATCTGCTAACAAAAGCAACCAACGCTATTTAGGTACATTATAGTTTTTGCCAGAATAATATGATTGATACTTGTGATATAGCATTTAACTCACAACAAAATAATTATTAGGTACTCAAATTTTTGGGGTTATTTTACAAGTTGGCATTGAAGTAAAGAGTTTAAGTATATATATAGGAAAATTGAACTGTCAATTATTTTATTTGAATGGAATTGTTTCAATAAAATCAATAAATACTTTTTGGATGCATAAATTAGAACCTGTGGACATCTAATGAAATTCAACTAAGGGTTGATTTTTAATAGTCGGATAAATGTTGTATGAGGAATAAAATTGTTGCTGTCACTGTTTTATACAAACATTCTGACGCGATAGCATCATAATTATTCCCCGGGTAACTTTTATTTAACCATTGAAAAATCAACCCTAAAAGGTAAAGATAAAATGATTGACGATGCATATGTATTTCTACACTTGGTACTGGACATGTTGCTCAACTTTCGTAACAGACAATGTATCGGTTTTGTTAAGGTATGTATAATTTCGTTTTGAGTCGGTTTGAGTATTGGCATTTCAGTACAATGTTTTAAGCCTAAATTAATATTTGCGCAATTATATTATAGATGTCTGTACTTATTATCCAATGAACACAGAAAATGGGGTGTTTATCAGTCTATCGTGATTAGTCATTTAAAGAATACAAACTAAAAATAATTATACTATTACTACGGAAAGTTTCAAATATTTAGGTAAACGTCTGCTTACTGGTGGCGTAAATAAAAAAGAAGAAGTGTAAACATTAGTAGACACTAACGTATTTGTGTAGACTATATTTTAAGAACAAAGAAACTATTTATTTCTGTTTGTTTGTTTTACTGACCGATACATTTCAACAGTTCTTGAACATAACTAATTAATCACAATAACATAAGCTTTCTGGCCATACGGGCGTAACAAACGGAAAATGATCGCGTATGTTTTTATTTTCAAAGCATCCCACAATGCGAATTTTCGCATTCGATTCCTTGAATTCATATTTTTGACGCATTACTATAAAAATTTTCCTTATTTTATTATTATCTTTGTTCCAGAACAACATGGCAGACTCACCAGAAACGGAACAAAAACCTACCATTAGCAACACGCATAGAGTGTCATTACCAACAGTCCTCTGTACTCCTGAATCAACCGACGATAATTCCGATATATCTATCAAAGTGAATTCTATCATTTCCTCGGATTCGAAGATGTCGCTTCCGTCCAATTTGGGCACCCCAACTTCTCCGCTGAGACTATCATCTCCGTTGTCATTACCGTCGTCACCATGCGTGAAGAATTCTCCTCAATCGACGAACTCATTACCGAATCCGAACCCGAAACCAATGACGTCAAGTACAGGGTCGAACAAGTCTGTGGTGAACACCGGCTCAGCCACCGGTAAGTGATACATGTAACAATTAGCAAACATATTCGTTCGTTAACACCCTAGCGGCGAAGCGTTAATAATCTGCAATCGCGGGAAAACTGATATTATACGTGGGTATCTACCGTTTTACATTTTTATTTTTGTGTTACACACTTTTTACTGAATTTGAATGAGCTCCCTTAATAAATGTGAGGGCAAAATATTTGATATGAATGTTATAAAATTTACTAGTACCTATTTTATCCTATTCTAAACTTGTAGATCTTATTCGGCACACATTATGATTCTCGTTCTAGCTTCATAATGTTAGGAATAATTGCTTTAATTTTCTGATTAAGTTCCAATACTTATACTGTTTATAAGGGAACAGTTGATCTAAAGGGTTTTGAGGGTGTTTGCGACCGACGGGATCGCGCACAGTGTTGTCAATATTTTTCGCCACTCTCAAGAAGACGTTGAGCATCTTCATACAGACGCTGTGTGTGGCGATATCTTATTGTTTAGCTTTCTATCTGTACTATATGTTCATGAACGTTGCCTTAATTTCCGGTCAAATCTCTTATTATCTTTAATCTCCTGTTAAATCTCTTGTCAAGTCATCAGATTGGTTGTTGATAATTCAGTCAACCAATCAGATGACTTGACAACAGATTAAATTGATTTTAACATTGATCGGCCTTTCGAAAACCGGGTGTCAGTCATCAGTTTAAACATATCTTCGCGTACCTCGGCCCGGTCCGAAGCGGTCCGAAGCAAAAGAAAGAATGGGTGGTCTTTAGTCAGTGAGACTGACACTTCCTCTCGCTTCACTCAGGGTGAGAAAAATAAATAAAAAAAGAGTTTTCCTTCCTCAAAAAAAAAACATATCTTCCTAACAATTGTTCTTCATACATGCACCTAATCGTTGATAATGTGAAATATGTGAGTCCGTGGGTGATGTTCCAAGAAGTATATTCGATTTTGATTACTTTTCCTGTTGCTAAAATATATTTCTTTCATGCTCGCCTTTTGTTATGACAAATACAAACACAAGCGAACAAAATTAACCGAATGTCTTACTTTTATTTCAAACAATTTACAATAGCAGTAATAATATCACATTTGTCTTGATTACTAGCGACTAACCCTGCTTCGCACGATTGGTTGTCCAACAACGAAAACTCCTAATATTCCTAGTAGGAACTTCTTTAAAAATAAAATTGTCTTTTATAAGAACCTTCTCCTCTCAAAACAGACAGATTAACTGATAGGAAGCAATGACAAGAAAAAAGAAAGGTTACGCGGGTTTAAGTTAAGAGGGTTTTGCCGGCCTTTTGAGATTAGGATTTTGGAGAGATTCAGGTTTGGGGAGGGATTGAGCTTAGGCCTCCGTCCTCTAATTAACAAACAAAAAAAGTATTGTTAAGGTTAGTTCAAGCGTTAGGTATTAAGTTATGTGCCTATTAATATTTTGCGATCCATTTCTTTAACATCGGCCTGGCTAACTGACCCAGCGAAGGCTAAAATTCACTAAATTGACAATTCAGTTTTTGTATATCTAATGTTACTTACAGACCTCTTTGTATAAGAAAAGAAATTGCTTTTAGTATTTCAATCGTAGTTTTTCCAAATTTACCACTGTTTAGACCTTTACTTCACTTTCATGAAATGTCAAGACTAAACATAATTAAATCAGTCCAGCAGTTTCGGAGTTTTAACGAGACTAACGAATAACTATTCATTTTTATGTAAGTATTAGTATTAGACAGGCTTACACATATATATATATATAACACACAATATACAACAATGAAAAATCAATAGGATTTATATAAAGGTTGTTTTACATATTATCGTGTATGTAGGTATATTATGTGAAGTGTCGAATCATGTTTCAGGTTAGGGTAACGTCGAACATTTTTCCCATTTTTCCCCTAAAATAAATTATTCTAGGCACACGTGCCCAACTTACAAAATCCGATTTTCGATCAAAAGTTAATAAACATCACCTTTTATCCTATACATTTTCTTGCGTAATTTATTCGGGTGATTTTTAGAGAATTTCGTGAAAGAAATAAGTCATTGGCTTATAGAGGACGGGATTTTATGACACATAATCAGCACTGATCTATTATATAAAAATGAATCGCGAAATGTGTTGGTAAGCGCATAACTCAAAAACGCCTGGACCAATTATGCAAAATCCTTTTGTTTTGTATTTATTAATGTCAGGAGAAGGTTCTTATGAAAGAAAATATTAAAAAAAGGGAAAAGGGACACTTTCGTTGTTAGCGAGATAGTAGGACCCGTGCGAAGCGGGGGTGGGCCGCTAGTTTTTAATAAAGTTAAAGTATTACGCAGAGGCGTTTTATAATTTAACTTGTGATTGTGTAATTAATAACTTAACGATTTGGGTATTCCCTTCATACTATTATTACAAAGCTAGAGTTTGTTTGCTGAAGCGCGAAATCTTCGAAACTACTGGTTAAATTTTAATAATTGTACTGTTGGATATTCTAGGATTTCTCAGGCCTCGTTCGTTAAATTCATGTAGACCAATAAGAGCCGAGCAGCTGGTGAAACAGCACAGGAGTAGCTAGCTAGCTATTAAATAAACGAGCTCAAAACCATTTAAGTATATGGCTGAATTTCTCATTCAGGTGCTAAGTCAAGGGTGAAACAATCGTCATTAAAACTTAGTTTCTGCCAGAATTAGTAGGCAGACCATGTTGCAACTGCGAACCTTACAGAAATTGAAGTGCCTTTAAAAAATAAACGTACTGGAATATTATTTATTAAACAGGCTGGGTCATTAATTAAGTATGGTTTATTAAACTGGTTAGATGCAACGCAAATTTTACATTTTGTTTGACACAAAGTTAATAAAACAGAAATCGTGTTTTAATCGTGAGCCTTTTCAAAACTCAATAAAATATTGAAATAGACAAAGAACTAACAAATTATCGTGTTATTATAAAAAAATAGTGATTTAAATCCATATTAATTATTATTCATTTAATCTGTTCATTGCAATCAGATGCAATATGGCCGATTGTTTAATTTGGTACTTATACTGATTATTTGAATAGCAAATGACAATGAAATTTCTATTTCCACCTATATTATGAACTTGTTATTATTTATTTTTAATACCTACACGTTGTCTTTTTTATGTGATAGAGTAAACGAACTGACCCATTACCTGATGGTAAGCAATCGGCGCCGCCCATGAACACACACAACACCAAAGGAGTTACGAGTACGTTGCGGACTCGTGCGGCCTTCTGAGGATTAGCGTTTCGGATATAAAAGGATTGAGGAGAGATGAGGCAGGGAAAGGATTGGGCCTCCGTCTCCCTACCTACAATATTGTTTCACGACGGTTTTCTGTGAGGCCGTGGTACTTATCGAGTCGACTCATTCGTACCAAAGCTGTCTTCTTCCATATCTGTCAGCAAAAAACTAAAGATGCTTTCCTGTTTCCTCGGTTAATCATGAAGCAGAATTATCCATTCAGTCCAATGGCCCTTCTTTAGTATCGCTCATAATATTAGATTTCATTATTGTGCTACTTAAAAGCAATATGTTTGTTTACAAATGAATACAAGCTAACTTTGATTCTAATTCCAAAATCAAATTGTATTTAACAATGCTTTACAACAAACTAATAAAATATTAAAAAAAAAATGGTTCGATATTTTTAGAGCTCGTTATTAAATAATAATGAAAAAGTGGTCGAAATACGAAGTGGGTATATTTTCATTAAAACAAATTTTGCCCAACAACAAGCCCTTTGATTATTATTTCATGAATAAATACTTAACGAAATCCTATGATAAAAGTACTCGAAAAAACTCATCAACATTTTAATAGCTTTTGAGACAAAAAGTAGTAAGCTCGACCGAAAGTGGATAAAATATATTATATTGTATTTCGTTCCCGCTCCTTCAAACGGAAATAAACAAAAGTTTGCTATTCATACCTTTTGTGACCTTCTAAATTTAACGATATTCGTAACCGTTTCCATTTAACTGATATAACTTTTGCAATTAAAGCTACGTTACTTGTAAAAGATCGTTTGTCTACTAAAGTATTTATGTTTTAAATCCGTTTCGTAGCCAGTACCTACCATCGATCGCAAGGTTCCCTTATAAACAAACTTGCCACACACCGCTATATTTTCCTATTATTAAGACAAACGCTGAAGGCTCGACGGGATTAAGTGTGAATAGGCTACTATCGCGCACTATTTCGTCATTGCGGCATAATATCCGCGATATTGGACTATATTTTGGCAATTGAGTTGATGATACGATGTTGCGAAGGGTTCAAGTATCCTCATTGAACCTTTTGGCCTTCACGGGACCCCAATAAACATGAGGATTTAGCATTTTTTTTCAGGACGCTGAAAATGAGAAACCCTCATCGACTTCATTCATATTCCGCAGTTGAGCGCAGATCGCGGCGGAGGGCGGGCGCGTCCCGTGTCGCTTTCTTCCACAATGCCGATACTAATTCGCTTTATTTTCCTTAACCGAGTGAAGTGAAGTGGCAATTAGAATGTCTCATGTCAGTCAACTAGCGTGTTCCACATAAATTGTAGCAATAGTATGCGTGAATAAATAATTTGACAGGAACATAATAAAGTTTTCGTGTTCGAATTGATAAATGAAAAACTTTATGAAAGAAAAAGTTTAATTTTATATGATAATAAATACTTTTGGAATTTATGAATGCTCAGGATAAATATAGGATACAGTTTTCCAGAAGTAACAATGTAGATTTGTATTCCACAGTTGTATTACGAACAATGCTTGAATAGGGTTTTGTTGGTAAACTCTTGCGTGTAATGATGCGAGGATTGAGATAAGCGGTGGTGGTGGTGTGAGGCACCGGAATGCCTTGTTGTGGCTGCTGGTGGAACGGCAGACAGAGGCACCGGCCTCCTGACCCCGACACATCAGGTTATTTTCCACTTCATTTTATTCGCGAATTTCCTCGCTCTAAAGCCCAAATGGATATAAAAGCAATGAATCGCGAGATGATGGATAAGCGGTTCTTTATCCATTCAGCTTTTACTACTCAATGTTATTGCTTCGATCTATGTGGCTTTGGAAAATATTGCCGCTATCGAGTTTCCACTGTTTGTTATTATGTAGTTGGATGGCTTTTCTACGTTATCTGTTATATGTTTTGTTTTATCTTGTTTGTTTTATGATTCCGTTAAGTATACATTGCATTAAGGCTTGAAGCAATGAGACTAAACATGGAGCTTTAATTGTGACATATTATTCACACCAAATTT